AGTTCACAAAATGACCCATAGACGTATCCATTAGGACAAGAAAGGAGTAGATATCGATCGGGTATGTTTGGACGAGTACAGGTTAAATCTGTAAACAGGAACGGATTATATATTGTCTTTTTACAGCCATTGGATATATTCTCGGAAATACACAGAGTTCATAAATGGGAAGTAAACAACATATAATCAATCGTGAAATGTACAGTTGTATTGAAATTAAACTGGAACACCTAGAAAAATCAAGGAGACATTTTTAATCACCTTGTTTACATATTGTTTTGTTACATAAATCATCTGGAAAATGGATGAAGTCAATTACAATCCTCTAGTTTGGAAACTAACGCTAAACTACATTTGAAACAGCTTAAATGGAGGTTTCAGTTAATGTTCAAGCAAGCCTCTTTCTTTTGTTTTAACTAAGATATTAACAGCAGTGAAGAAGAATCTTCAAGAGTACTGGGTAACAATATATTTGAGCAGTGGTGTAAATCAGATGTGGATAACTAAAAATTTCAAGTAGCTTTTGGACAAGATTTCACCAAAATCAAGAGTTTTAAAACTTCACTTTCAACTTTATACAAAACTACACTTTAAGATAAATTCAATTTTAGGTTTATTTGCTCTTTGAAAAGTGCTCTTTTAATTAAAAGGGGACTCGTAAATCTGATTGACACATATGTTTCATAGTTAAATGTTTTATTTGAAAAAGACGTTAATTGGAATCTCACAACGAATCTTTATGATAAACATGGTGACTTTCAATTGTCAACTTCCCGTACTTTTGTAGCATAACATAGGCGTCGGAAGCAAATTGAAAGTGTGTGTGTGGGGGGGGGGGTAAACCATCAAAAGAAGGTAAACCCCATATTTAATGCTTATATAATATATAGATTTATAAAAAAATGTGGGGTGGCTAAGCCTCCCCCCAGCCCCCCGGTTCCAACGCCTATGAATTATATTTATACATGTACTTTTATCACCTGCATGTGGGGTTTATATCGCTCAGTAAGTTCGATACGCAATGTATGCTACATACGTACAATTTATTAAAACTATGTAAATTATTTACTTACAAGTCGATGAAACAAGAATATCAGAAGTTTAGTTTAAAGTCATCATATCATAGTTTTCTGATCGAAAGAAGGACCTTGTCAGCAAATACAAATTGTCACAGAGTCAAATCTTGAGTGACAATTTTTATACTAATTGTTAGGTTATTATTTACACACTGTATTGTTCACGAATTTTCCCGTAATTTCCTAATCATAAAAGGGAGCACACGGCGGGTGTGACCAGTGATGTTCATTTCCCAATTACACCTGATGTTCTGGAGAGCCGTGTTTTTCAATTTCTTTTTTGTATTGTTTAATGCACTTTGAGTTTTAATACCGTTCGTTATCTCCATGTATTCCCTTGACCTCTTTCAGTATTCCCTCGACGTCTGTCAGTATCTATACACTTTAATTTGATATCTAATAAGCGATGAAAATCGATGTCTTGTAACACTTAAAATGACTGAAATTAGTTAATCTCCTTTAATAGACACGGGCATTGCAAAATGATAATTGGTATCAAATATCAATTCATCTTTTAAAGGTCGGAAAATCTTCATTTCTGATATGAACGTAACAATGTAACAGAAAATAATATTGATTTTTTAAAAAGAGAATTTCTTGATAAAAGTACAATTTTGCCTTTATTGAAAAGTCTGCAGTTTTGAAGAAATGCTACGTGTAACCAGTCATTAAAGAAACACTAAACTGACAAAATTTTAATGAAAACATTTGGTAAGAGTTTAAGTCATTTCTGTTTTTCACAGTTCAGTTTGCTTTGCCTGAAAATTCTAGATTATTAAAAAACTATCCCGTGTGGCGAAGTGGGTTGAGCGTCAGTCCTAGAGTCGCGGCGTAAGCAGTTGATTCTTACGTCACGGGTTTGAATCCCACTGTAGGACATGGGGACCGGTCCTTTGAGTGCGACCGTTTTGCAGTAGGTGCTGGCACTCACTGCTCAATGGCCGTTAGCGCCGAGTATAGGACAGAATTTGCAACTCTCCACTGGCAGGTGGTTGCTTCTCCATATGAGTGCAAAATTCTTGAGAGGGACGTTAAGCAACAACAAATAAACTATCCTAAAGTACAGGTTACATTCCATAACTGTTCAAACTCTTTCAGTTCACAAAAGAAATATTGAACCTATTAAACAGAATGCAAATAAACGTTCTTCTGCTCTTCTGCTAAGAATAAAATCGAATATGTATATTCTGAGGATAAAATATTATTTTACACTGACTGCGAAAGAAGGGGTTGATTCATCGAATATAATTTCCGCTCAAATATTGCTTCTAAAGTTAAAATCTGAAAGTTTTTAATCTTTATGTGTACTTACCAGTAATATGTATTTTGAATGTGCAGTTTTGAGACACATTTCCTTCTGCGTCAGTGGCAGAGTAAACAATTGTATGCGACCCAAGGGGAAACAGTGAACCTGATGGTTGGCCCTTTATCTGTTTAATAGTGACCTTTCCTGAGTTATCAATGGCAGTGGGCTCTTTCCAAGAGACACTGGATGGTTGGCTCCTTCTCTCCGCATTAGAAAATATGTCTTTCGGACAATCGTTTATCATGGGTTTTTGGATGTCTATATACATGTAAACATATAAAAATTTTATCTTTATAATCTGATATACAAGCACTTGACCAGTCTAAAGAAATAAAATTAGCCATTATTCTTATGAAGTTTAATGAAAGTTTTTCTTTTTAAATTTTATAATGATAATGTAGTTTCCAGGTTTTTTTTTTTGGTATTTAAAAGAAATATTATTTCCCTTAATATAGTTTTTTAAATTAATGTTTTAATTGGAAAAAATAGAGTATGGGTTTTAATTTGAAGCATTTTAGTTTGAATATCATGAAAAATAGTTGGACAAAGACTTTAATAAATGTTTCCAATTTTGATAATTATTCGTGATTTTTATACCTATGCATCCTGGTAGATGATTTGACCACATTTTATTCGACTGACAATCAATCTGATTTTCTTCAAGAACGGCATAACCACTTTCACAACGTGTAGAGCACACAGTTTTATAAGTGTAGTCAGAAGAGGAGCACAACAGATAGCCATTTGCTGGGTTTAAGGCAGGATCATTCCCTGGGCAGGAAATTTCTGATAAGATAGAATATAAAGTTTGTAGAAGTTGTCATAGAACATTGATACGACTTTGCTTCAACACATTCTTATACAGCTCAAAATTACTTTTAAGCCAATAATTTAAATGTTGATCTACAACACCTTATGTATAGATCAGATAAATGGAAAAATCGGTTGTCAAAGTTAGTATAAAACAAAGTCCTAACAATTGGTAGATTAAACAGCTGAGTCATGTCGACTATCATACTTTATACGACAGGTATTGTTTGTTACTTCTAGCTTTTTATTGCTCTTTAACCTTTTTTTTTAGTTTAATTCTAAATAATTTAATTTTGTTTTTATTCTAATCTCTCATTGGTTGATTTCCAAAAAGGAACACAGAATAAAACATAATAACCTGGTTTGGTATGGGGACACACCCCCTTGACAACCAGCTGAAACATCTGTATCTATACAATCCCCCCATTTCCAGTCCTTGAAATTCATGGGAAATTCCAGATTTAATAAATATACCTTTAACTTCAAACAGTAGCTCGATCTTACCTCGTGTACACAAACATCATGGCTGCTAGATCTGTATATCAGTTATTACCTCCCCTTGTTTCATATCACTTCCGTTACTAGGGATGTATTATTGAGCGGCAAATTTGAACTCATAGAAAGCAACACAATTTTTCACCCACAGTTGTTTAATTATTTTAAAATTAAAATATAAGGAATGACTCTAATTCTTGGCCAAATTATTCGATGATAACCTGGTTTGGGTCAGTTTACGCTTTTTTATAATACGCTTCGCGGATTATAAAGCGTAAATTGACCCAAACCAGGTTATCATCGAATAATTTGGCCAAGAATTAGAGTCATTTCTTAAATATATACTGTCATGAGACAATAATGTACCCCCTCTTAGGTGTTGACCCTTAATACACGCTCATTCATATCTAGCTTTCCAATTGCAAGGAAAACATCAAGAAGGATATGGAGATAACGAACAGTATTCAATCTCAAATTCCATAAAACAATACAAAATAAGAGAAGAGCAAACACGGACCCCCAAAACATCAGAGGTGGGATCAGGTGCCATGGAGGAGTGAGCATCCCCTGCCGACCGGTCATACCCGCCGTGTGCTCCTTGTCATGATCAGGAAATAACAGAAAACGTCAATCAGCATTTGACTCAATGATAAACTGTATTTGCTGACAAGGTCATTGTATCGACCATAGAACATAAATCCAAGTTCTTCTAGAATGAATTTTTATAATGAGCCTTACAAACGAAGACAATGTTGTTACCTGCTTTGTCGGCAGGAACAAGTACGTGCTCATCGTGTAATCTATCTAACTCCTTTTTCACTTCTAGTTTATTGAACACAGAAGGATAAATGGTTTTCGTATTGCCCTTCAATCTTTTAATACATGGATCTGATACATTTAATCCATTCTAACAAGGTGTCAACGTCTTCTTTTTCATATCTGGCCCATTGTCTGGCGTAATTTTTCACAGAATCCATACATTCACTAAATCGAAAATTAATTCCCAGGTGACCATGTGACCTACTAGTATGAGCCTCTTCTTATGTATTTCATATACTTTAATCAATACTTAAATTTGGAATAACGGAATTTAATTGATGATGTAAATTAGATTTTGATAATTTTTTGCCAATACTTGGAACTTGTTAAATTTGTTTCTCAGCATCAAATGATATTATTTTAGTACAGAGCTTTTTTGATGAATTTATCAAAACGTCCAATTTTATTTAGTTTTTGGTCAGGCAAAAAAAGCCCTTCAAAATCCTACCTAATCAATTGTGTCTATGCCCAGTCGTTCACACCTCCTTAAGGACGTTCGATCCTGAGATTTTGAGCGTATTTTGTTCAGGTCCTTTATTTATAAAATTCTGCATCATTTTTAAATTCTAACATGAAATCTGAATTCTACAGTGCAAACCTGTATATTTGTAACCTGTAAACCTCTATATTCAATGAAAAAAAAAAAAACGCGATTAAATTCCATTCAAGTAGAATTATGCTAGGGACTATATTTTGTGGCGGAAGGTTTTTTAGACGAAAATGATCAGTTTTTCTATTTTGAACTATAACAGTACTGTTAATTTTGGATTCCTGTTTTTCAATCCTGGTTGCACACAAAGCTGTTTTTTTTGCAGTGAAATGTGTCATGCTGGTTCTGAAATATCTATTAAATTATTTCGTATGAATTCTATCAACAATTAAAGTGTGACAAATATAGTAAATATATTCTGAAAAATCTTGGAAAAAATGGAGTCCATTTTAACTTAAAACTGACACTTTTTTAAAGAAATATTTAAAAATTTACATTATATACCCCCACTTTTGATGTCCTATTTTTGTTGACCTATTTGCTTAAAATCAGAAAAAGTTTAAGACTTTTAAATAATTTTCCTGCATATTGAATTTTCAATGCCAGGAAAATCACTTTTATTAGTGCAGAAAGGTCAAATAATTGATTATGCGAAGCAATTTGAAACTTTTTCTTAGTCACAATCTTGAGTGTCTTTTTTTAAACAAACTTAATTGGGTTCATTTTGTTTCATGCTTTGATTGGATAAAAATATTGGAGGGAAAACGTCAAAAATTTTATTTTTTATTTAGACACAAATTTCAGTGCAAAAAGGTCATTTCCTGTAGCGCCAAAAGAAGCGTATTGACACCCTTTTGATTTGAATTTTAATTAAACTATGTATTTAGAAACTAAAAATATACTTGGCAAAAAAATTTAAGACTTTAAATATCAGGATCGAATGTCGTTAATAGACCTTATGACGGTTTATATTGTTGTTCTGAACTTATTGTCATCGGCGCCACATGCATCTACCCTTACTGTATCATTACAGATTGTCACCAGCTGATAAGTTGATAAGCTTAACCTGTGGAGTTTGTCGCCGGCGACATTATGTACTCACCTTAACTCTACATATTGTACATACATTAAGTATTCCATATTCTTTTTTATTTTTTTTAATATAATAAATGTGTTAATCACACAGACGTGTCTCAAAGCTTATAGGCTTTTCATAAAGCGCGATTGTGACGGCACAAATGTCATCCTATGCCTATTGTTTTCCCTGCACCATTGTGTACATTGTATTTCCCCTAGCATTACATAACGTGATGATGATGATGATGATGATGATGATTTGATAAGACAAATCAATAAAACTAGGTTGCAGACAATTTGTAAAAACGTAAACTAATGCATCGTATTTAAATTCCTACTCATATTATTATAACTATAAAATGTAATTACTTAGATCCAATAAATACTTAATAAACTTAAACCAAATCGTATAACTTCTATGAAACAGGGTTTTAATGATTTGGTCATTTTGTAATTATCTCCTCTTGGATGAAGCCGTGGTCTTATATTTGAAAAAAAATACTTGAGTGCCCTAAACCTAAGAGCTAAGTAGCTCTCTAGAAAATAAATGAAATTTGGAACAGTTTAGAAACACGCCAACAAAAGACAACGGACAAAATTCGATCTGAAAAGCTCACATGAGCCTTCAATTTCGGCGCAGATGAGTTAAAACCATATATCAACATTACAATGTGTACCACAAAATGTGCAGATACACATGATATATTGTCAACAACGGCAATGTGTACTGTTGTGCATTCATGACTGCACATTTTCTCATTCATTTGAAGGAAATTAAGCTCGTTTCGCCACACTCTGTTGTCGGCGACAGTGTGTTCCATTGTACACCCTTATGTGCATTGAGATTAGGTATACATTGCATGTTGCTTACGACACTTTATCCGGTCACAGACGACCTATAAACAATAAAATTCTAAGAATTAAGTAATTTTGTTTGTACCTTGGCATGAGTTCGGGCTTTCACTGTGGATTCCAGATACTCCGTCTGTTTCACATGTTATGACTTGTTCATTGTTGCTTCTAATGGGCAGCATTTCATGTCCTTCCTTACATTTTATTCTACATGATGATCCGTAGATGAACTCCCCGTCGCATGTCATTATGCTATTGTCCTTTGGTTGTATCGGTTGACAAGAGATCACTGTAATTTTCCATATAGTTTGTGCATGAAAACATAAATACTACTTTCAGTGATTTCTGTTAAAATACTTACAAGGTGACCATGTATTCATTATTTCCCTGCGACTACGAAAAATAATTTTCATATGAATTTCGGTTTATCCTTAACATTTATATGATTAATAAGATATGTATGAAATTGACATAACCTGATACCCCAAGTAATATGTACGCCACGTACTGAATAAAAAGTCAATGCGGTATGTATGTATGTGTTGTTAATGTTTGTGTTTTTAAAATTTGATTGAAATGTGACACTATAAGATATTTTGACCGTAAATAATCTGATTAGAATTGAATGTTTATTACAGGTACCATTTATAATTAATGTACTTTCTAAATTTAAAAAAAAACGGACATATTAACGAGTGGTGATCAATATCATAAAAACTACAAATTATACAAATATGAGAACAAAGCATAGAATGCTTGTTGACTCATTTTCTTATTGTGAAAAACTGTGAACTTTATTTAATTTAAGATTAAAGTAACATTAAACTTGAAATATATTAAAGAATATCTCGATACAGTGGTGGCATCTGTCATACATAATACCTTCCACAGAAAACGAAAAACTGCATGTTGATTTAGCTCCTTTATTGTCTGACACTTCGTAAGTCAGAGTATGATTTCCTCTCGTAAATTCTGAACCATTGGGACTACCGGAAATTAGTGTTGGTCTGAAAATTACAACATTTTGAAAAAACAGTTGTTTAGGATATGATAAAAAAAAACTCCATATCAACTTGACTTTAAAATGATTAAATAATTTGTACTCTGTACATACCCGTCAAAACTGTCCCCATCAGGATCTTTTGCATCTGGAACAGACCAGTAATGACTTGCAGTTATTTGCGATCTCTCAGCGTAAACAACTATTCCGCTGGCAGGACATGTCAGAGTAGGAGGACTGTTTGGAGGAGGGTTAACGTCTTCGTCGGCTATTAAAGTAAGGCCTACATGTATATTTGAGGTAGGCAATACAATGTATAACCAGATTTGGAAGCACGTGACACATGAATAAAAAAAATACTAGTAATTAGGAAATGAAATCAGCTTTACTTTAATTTAGAATCAGGAAGGGGTTTCTATTTCATTTTTGTTACAATTCGCATTATTGTGAAGTAAGCTTAGAAGAGAGTGGGTAAATTATTCAATCTCAAGTGCGAATGCGCTTGCATGTGTGAATTTGAAGCGTCTTTTTAAAGTAGGAATGGATCCCCATAATGTGAATATCAACACGATGACTTCCGTAGACAAAGGGCACAACAATTTAAACTGTGCGCTCGAAGTCAAATGATGCTGATGACATTGATATTGTATGCGTGCAGACGACGGCAGTCGTATTATCTTTTTTTATTGCAACTTTAGCTCGTATTATATGATAAATATCATTTGATATTGTAAATGCAGAATATCTATCCCAAATTTATAGACATACCATCCGCAAAAAATAAGATATTAAGCTGTTTACATTCGACAAGAAACTAGGTCGCTTCATTTTATGGCAGCCTATGCGGAATAAAAAATGGAATTTTTCTGAAACATCATAGAACATGTAGATTTTTTTTTGTTTTTAAACTATGGGCTATGATTAATATAAAAAAACAAAGTCATATAGACAAAATACTGATTTTACATTTTTTACCAGTAAATATAATCTATTTTTTTTTTCTGAAATGTTTGTTTACAGGTTACTGGTAATAAAGTCTTGTTTTCACAAGTATCACAACTGAAGAACTTTAGAAGAGAGCAGGGTTTTAGAACCACTTAAATCAGATGGAGAAAACCATGCAGATCAGATTGAAAAAGTGAGACTAGATTTGACTAATCCCAGGGAAGCCACCATCGAACACGTACCACACACCAGGACCCAATCCGAAACCCGCAGGGCAAGTGAAAGAGAGGACATGCAACAAACTATAATTATAAAGTTTTATTATTTAAATAATTACTTTTTGTTCATAAAAAGCTTTTTTAACATCATTGCAATTATATCCTGAAATTATCGCACCAATTTTGAATATTTGGAATATAAAAACACATACTGTGGTTTCATCAATATTCGTTGAGCACCAATTTTCGTGGATTTCGTTGTTGAGCACGTACCACACATTCAAATGTTCATTGAATTACGAAATATGACATTTATTTGTAAAGGCAATGCTTTTGTCCATTAAATTACGTATCCTCAAAACTGTCTGTTTTACAAAATCCACGAAAATTGATGCCAACGAAAATTGATGAAACCACAGTACTTTGAAGCCTAAATGCCTTGATTTATTTTCATTAAATGCTGAAAAAGAAATAGCGGTGGGAGTATAAAAAATATGAAAACTTTCTTATAAGTAGACTAACCCTACTTTTCATGCTATGAATAGGAGCAAGAATACCTAAAGAACTGTACTACAATTACCTTAAAAAGTTTAATTGTAGAAATTTGTTTTTCTCTGGTTTCTCGAGTAATTTTATAGCAAAAAAAAAATAAATAAATAAATAAATAAAATTTGCATAATATTTTTGGGTACAAATTATCTAATTGGTATTAATTTGCTCATATCTTGCTTAAAATATCAACTTTGCAATACTTTCAAGTAAAGTTTGGCCAAATTAAGTTTAAATGGATTGTATTTATAAGCCTATGAGGTTTTTATGGTCTAATAGCTATTTTAATGAAATTTACCATGCTCTATCTTTGCTATGTTCAAGGGATTGAATCTCTCTTAAATGAACACTTACATGCACTTTTCTTGTCTTTAAATTATTCCTTGGATATTACACTTTCAGAAAAATATAATTTAATCTACGTTTTTTTTTCCGGATATCAGCAGAAAAAATTCTTAATTATTAAAAATATATTTACAAACATTAGAATGAATATAAATTTTAGCAATTTTAGCAATGAAAAAATGATATAAAACATGGCTTGTCCATATGCTAATTCGTCATTACTTGTCAAATCGCCATTAACTCCGAAAACTCTTTTTTCTAAAAAAAAACATATGCTTTCCAGCAAAATATATCCCACCAGAATGCAGATTTGATAAGATAAGGTATATTTATCATCATCCCATTGACGAGAGGATTTGTTGTTTATGATTTGTATACATCCAAACATGTGATTTTACCCAGTGAAATTTAAACTCTTCATGAAATCACCAACACGTTTGGACAGTGAGTGGAATATTGTATGACTTAAACGTTTGATCAATATTGATTATCAGCTGTTTGCAAGGAAAACGTGTAGCTTTGAAAAGAGGTGTGAATTTGGTTGTCATGTTATATCTAGCACTCGATAACACATGCAAGTTAGATTAAAACGGTAAGTAAATCTGCTCTTCTCAATACCATGAATTTACTAAATACGTGTCTTAGTCTTTGACTGGAAACATGATAGTTTTCGCTTAAATTCATTTGAAAAACAATAAAATCCGAACTTTTTTCAATGCCCTCGCTTGTCATCTTTTTTCACTACTTTTGTAACATTTAGTATACTTTATTTGAAGTATATAAAAAAAACAGTACCAAAATATTTGAGCCCACACTTGAACCGGATCTTTCACACGTAAATTTTTGTGATGTTTGAAATTTTTGACAGTTTTTCAATTTTGTTCAATTTCTTTTTTTCATTGTTTTTACCCTTTTTATATTTTATATTTTTAAGATATGGGAGGAAATCCAACCAGCTATTCTCAAGAAAATGCTGTTTTAATTTTATTTTGTCTTTTTTGTAGATTGAAATAATAATTATGTAGATTTTATTAATAACTTTGCTGGTATTAGAAATAAGTGCATGCAACAAATATCGGTTATATTTCATAGGTGTAGAGATCCTCCTTAAAAAATCTGCCTTTAGCAACTGCAGCTTTCCACTGGTAAGTAGTGGTGTCTCCATATGAGTGAAAAATTCTCCAGAGGAACATTAAACAGGATACAAACAGGCGTACAATCAATCAATACATCGCCAATAAGGTTTGATTATGTGATGTTTTTTTTATCAAGATATCTCTATGAGTAAATTTGCAAAATGTTCGTTTCATGTTCTTGATTTGCAGTTTTAATTACCTGTTTTTTAACAAAAAATATAACATTGGTCAACTTGTTTGTCTGTAGCATGACTCCCTTTTGAAATTGTCTGTACGTTGTACTTTAAGCATGTGCTTGAATCGATTTAAGTGGGATATATGTAGGTTATACATATGTTGGAATGTTTCGCTACATATCTCAGATACATTGACGATGAAAAAAGTTGAAGCCACACGTTTATCATGAAATTTTCATTGATACTCTTTAATTTTTTTTTCTTGAAAATATCCAAATATGAAACGAATATTTCAAACCCTGTGGCATTTATTGTTTCAAGTTGAATGGGTTATATCGAGTCTATATAAGAATGGAAGTAACCATTATTAACGATAATACATCGCCAATATATCTCAAAATTATGTTAAAGGCCTCGTCAGGTTTCTTCTATGAGATATTTTTTATACTTACGTGATTCCCCACTGCAGAAAATTACACATACAACGATAGCAGCAGGAATAAATAACCAGTGAAACAAGTGAAACCATCTTTTTGTTATGTGATGTTCAGTTTCTGAAGTTTCTCCAAGTATGAAACTATGATTATCTGTTAAAAGAAGACACATAACTTAATATTCTAATGCAATAGTTTTGTAAAACACTTTTCGATTGGCTAATGCACTGATGTTTGAAGCAGTAAAAATTAACTGTGAAAGCTTTTTCATTGTCAAAAAAAGCAACGATATGGAATCAACAATAACCCTAGCCCTTTATGGAAACATGCATTTACATACTAGTATATCTCATAGGAGAAAGTGACATACTGCTAAGTATTGCGTGACGCCACGACTGTCAGGTTGAATAAAATTTAATTTTACTATGGTTTAAACTAAGCGATCATACGTTGTGACCCAAACTATTGGATAAGTGTATTTGTCTTCTCCTAAAGGTTGACACAATAATTTCGCACAACATTTTATGAGTAAATAATCTTTGCGTAGTTTTCTTCGTTTTGAAGAGGTATGCTAACTTCCATTAATTCAAATAAAGTCTGATATATTTACCTCTTTAATATAACAACTTATTTCGTTGTAATGTATTGGAAATACTTTAGTGATTTCCTTCTCAAAAACTACATATAACCATCATTGGGCATTTGACAAGGTAGCATTTTCAGGTAGAGAAGATTCAAGTTTGTTGAAATCATTGTACCATTGGTGTAGGATGAGTCCACAATGTTCGATCAAAGTTTTACATAGGAATATATTGAAAAATACGAGGGTTGTCCGTAAAGTTCGTAGACAACAGTGATAATTACTGACAAACCATGATAAAACATATGAAACTATTATTTTCATTAAATTCATGTTTCATGTTATTAACATGCAAGTTTTCAACATAAGCAAAGCACAAATTGTTATATTTTCATCAGATACAAAACAGACATACACTCATACCGGAGCACTAAAGCGAAAATTCTTGAAGTTATCCGATCGACGTCAATTTCTTATTTAATACGAATACATATAAATTTTATCAACATAGTCACCGTTTTACTCAATGCATTTCTAATGTCGTTTTAACCAATCCTAAAATTGTGCACAAAATGTTCAGGTTTAAAAATCTAATACGTAAAATAATATTTAACAATGCATGTCTTACAATCTGCAATCATCCAACCTCTGTCCGCAAACAAACGATGTTATTTACGGAACTACGGAAACTTCACCTAACAAAATTCATTTTTACAGCACTGCAATCTCGGAGTGATGGTTTTCCTTCCCACATGTCATCCTGTAAACTGTTTCTTCTGTCCAAAAATATAATATGCTACTTCAGTAATAATGAACGGCTTCTTTTACTATGTTTTTCCGATTGTTTACAGAATGTATTGGTCTATGTTGGTGTTTTTCCGATGTCTACGCATAATTTTTTTCACTGCTCGTTGCTCCACCGATTTTGAAAACGTCCTTTTTTAGAACAATTCTGATCCGTCTTAATATGTTCTAACTCTGATTGCTCAGCCGTTTTACAACTTTGAACTTTTAAATTTTGCAGGTTTGACATGATTACTTTTTGTCAATCTCATAATGTAAAAGTCGTTCAAATATTTGCAGAATTTTATAAAATACAAATAAAAATTATAAAGAGATAAATAATTTTTATAATCAAAATTTCAGGGTGCTCCGGGTCTCCATTCCAAGTCTAATTCTGACGCCAAAATTGTAATTAAACATTTGAATAAAATTTACATCTTTTAATATCATATTTAGTAAAGGATTAGAAATATGGTGAAAATGAAAATCAATAACGCAACTTTTATTTAATTTTTTGCCTTTTTTCCATTATTAGCAATATTTATATGGAAGCATCCTCAGGTATCGTAGATTCGTTTTTTTAAATTCATATAAAATACCTCCTTTAAAATTTTGCAAGATTGTGCCGTCACTGCATTGATATTCTCTTCCATTTATTTCTGCTTTACCCCCATTCAATATCAGTTTCGATGACTTCATGTTTGCAGATGTCTTTTTATACTGGCAATGGTTGTTTTCAAAAACCTTCTGAATGAGAAAGAAAAAAAGAAATGTGTGTTCTTATCGTTGTAAGTATACGTTTTAAGAAATCATGCTATTATCATTAAAAAGACATTACATGTATGTTAAAATCAATAACTTTGATTCAATGTGTTTAATATTTCACGATTGACTGTTGGTTTATATAATTATACATGTAAAAGGGTTTCAATTTCAGTTTTCTCTTTTGAAATTATTGCAATTTTCATTCAAAATCTTTATGATTAAAATAAATCATTACAGCAAACGTATCCTTTTATCCGCCAATGTTAATGACCTTAATTATTTTTTTTTTGTATATGATATAATGGAATGTCTTAAAATATTAACAAAGTTTAAATTTCATCTGCTATTATTTGATATTGAATTATTGAAACCACCACAATATATTTTAGGACTACAACATATTATTTAAAATGATTGTGAACTGTAAATCAATCTAGCATTAATTTTAAATTCAATTTTATATGTAATTGAATAAACAGTATTTTATGGTTATTAAGATGTTAAAATTTTCTTGAATCTAAGAAAATTTATTCTTTCTTGTAAATTATCGAAAATCGGAATCAATGAAATCGTTACCTTTCTTGCATCGACTCTTTACTTTCTTTTGTCTATTTTTTTTTCACTCCCTAGCCTAAATTTCTAGAATTCATCACTAAGGTCGATTTTGCTCTATTTATTTTGTCTATGATTTAGATCAAGTGAAAAAGAAAGATTTTGTTTCAATTTTCCTGAATTACAAACACTTTTTTCCTGTCTCGGTCTGTCATACGTAAAATCTAAATTGAGATTTGCAATTGAGGCAATAACAACCATATAATTTACATAAGTGGAGTTACAGAAAAGATTGATACTACAACTATTGATAAAGTTTACTCAATCATATTGGTGAACAAAGTAATAAAACAGATGTCAAAGACCATGCTTCAATTACAAGCATGATCATTTTGTTATTTCTAGGTAAAACTAACTTCTATATATCCTACCTTTGCTTTTGCCATCATTATAACTCCATTCATCATAATTAAGTAAATGAAAACTATCGCTATATGTTTGGGCAACATTTTAATATACGTTATCTGAAAGAAATAAAAAAAAATATCATTTATAAACTTGTTTTGGCAAATATTATATACACAGTGAGAAATCAATGAAACATGCATTGAAACTATATAATGATTTGATCAGTATATGAAACGTAATGCGTGTGTGTCTGTTTCGAGCATTCTGTGATAACAAAATCTAAAGAATGGACAGAATACTCGTATTTATAAAATTATTCCATTTTCAATGTTATGTGTGATTCCTATAGAAATGAAAGTAATTTTTAGATCTACTCCACTCATAACAACGTACAATATGATACATGTCATATGGTTGAGTTTATGCACTATTAATCTCTTATTATGTCTCTTTTGTTTAACAAATTGTTATATACTACTCATCATAATAATTTCATAAATTACTTGTAACAAAATTTAATGGTCAAATTACTGTGTTCTTATTATGAATAATATTTACACGAAATCAGCAAAATAAATTATATTTCATTAATTTGATACAAGTAGGAATATTAATCTTCTAGACTTTTATTTTGAAATCTATCAGTTTTATTCTATTATATCATAATTATTTCAAACTTTGAAATTTTGAAAGAATTGAAATAACTTTGTTTCAATATCGCCAAAAGATTGTTATATTTCAGACACTATTTTAAACGAAAGTATTATGTTTGAAATACCAAAGTGCTTAAAAACAATAGAGGTCGTTTTCCCCTTGACGTTAATTAAAATGAAATGAAGTAGAAAGATTACGAATAGTAATCAATTCTAGCGTCATTCATAAAAAAGACACTAATTAATCCCTCTAAACTCAATGACTAAAGTGAGTGCGAAATTAAGTATATCATTTCATATTAATTTAATTACAAAGAATTACAATTTATCCTCTGTACCTAACTCTAGAAGACGAATAGGCCCACAGTAAATAAAAATTGACACATGTTCCGAAAGTAATTTTTTTAATGAGAAACTCTGAACTTTCTACAATAATAAAAATTATGTTATGCTTAATTTATCACACGAAACATCTGTTTGGTAGTCTTTAAACTTGTTTTACGTTTATAAAGGTTTATATTGCATTTCTTTACCCTTTGAATTATACAATTAGCTAAACAGAAGAAAACATTATTTCGCTTAATTCTTTCAATACTTTCCTAAATAGAATCTTGCGTTGCATCTATCAATTTTACCATCGTTCTTGTCTATCTGAATGTAATCCATAATCTCAACCCACGAGTCTACTCTTCTCTGATTTTTGCCAAATATAACATCAACCTTTCAGTTGTTGTAAATGAGCATTGATTTCTATGCAATGCAATGCAAAAATTACCAAAATGAGGACTTTTCAGATAGTGTGCAGACATGAGATAGACAATTATCACTTGATAAGATCAATACATATTAAAGAGAAATGGACATAGTTTCAGCTAGAAATTTCAAATTTGTTTTTCAATTTTTTTATGTTTATCAATATTTAACAAGGTATTGCTAATGATAATCAAAAATTAGATTTTCAGTTCCGATACAAGACAGATTAAAAGCTCTAACCTTTGTTAATATGTAAATGGACCCGTGTCATGTTTTGTTAACGTACGCTAAATATACTTATATATGTACGATAGAAGCAAATTGTTCCAAAAAGAAGTTGACTGCAAATAGGAATAGACATTTGTAATTTGCAATGAATTTAGCCATCATTTTTACACAATCGAAGACTTGGAGAAATTTTCAAATGTAAGTTATATTAATAATGAGGGACTAAACTTTCAAAATATATCAAACAAATATGATTTTTCGAACAAACTATAACTTTGTTAGCTTTTAAACGCCTCCTATCAAAGTGCAGATTTGAACCAAAAATCCATAAAAAGTATTATTCTCTCTTAGTAAACGATATCAACTTTTTGTTTTTGTATCATTTTGTACATTTATAAGACTACTTTATTATATGTGAAAATTAGAAAACGTTAAATATAGGAAACATATGAAAATAACTAATATATCCTTAAAAATTAAGAAAAACAGAGACAATTCGGATAAGACAATATCCAGTTAAGTAGTATTATTTATGTAAATTTGGTAATATCATGCTATAGACCTGATATAGTAATATGTTTTATGCAAAAAGAACAATCATTATACTTTTGAAATAGAAGTAGGTGTCACATGATTGGCAACAGTATTTTTTTATTCTTAATGTCAAGGAAAAAGATAATGATCTTGACCTGACCTTGCCTCTAATATTAAACGGTCAAATTTAATTTTACTGATACTGTCACTTATTGATATTGTCTTCTTGATTCTGTAAAAATTTCATTAATTTTTAAATATTAGAAACATGAGAAGAATCCTACCTTAAGACTAAAACAAGTGTCTGTATGTAGGTTTTGTTGACGTTGCTGCAAAAATAAAGAAAATCAATTCAAAACTATATATTGCTACATTCATATACAAATGTATCTAACACGCAATTCTACAAAATCATTAACATAAATATTGCAGAAATAAATATCGATAAAAACCTTCAACATGATGTTATAAACAACGTTATATCTGCAGACATATTTTATGATGTGCATTAAATATGGGACCAAGCTAACGCACTTTCAAAAAATTGATTTTTTATTTTCAAAGTGCGTTAATATCGACCATATTAACGCACTTTGAAAAAAAATGTAAAGATTGATCAATATTTTTAAAGAAAATAATCGGTATGATAACAAATCCTGGATAACTTTTTAATTATAAAGTCACTCCAGGACCTGAGATATTGACGTTTCAAATATTTGAGGTTTTGATAAAATAAAAGGGAAAAGGGTCTTGAAAAAAAGAGTGACGATTGTTTAAGATCATTAATTCGTTTTTTTTCTCCCTAGTCTTTGATAAATAGATGTAAACGTGTAAAGGGGGCACTAATAGTGGACAGCTTTAAGCAACTTAGCATTTATCATAATAAAAAGGGGGCAATTTGATTGTTCAAAACTATGAAAATTCTTTCTCTCCCAAACGATTTACTGTACTTAATAATTTCTAGTTTGCACGCCTTCTATGAGAAATGAACGGAAAATATATGTGCTAGAAAGGGGATTAATTCAAAACTGAATTTATTTTAATTTAACTGTTTTATTATCACAGAACTTAAATATTTATAGAAATAGCATAGTATAACCCACTCTATACTGTATGTAGTTGGTCCCATTGATGAACAGTCACGTGATGAATGCATAGCTAGTGTACTGAATGTAGGTCATGATCAAATTTCAATATCGCATGGGCATACCATAGTTGAAATTAAAAATTCAAGCTATTAATTTTTTCAGCATACTTTGTAGTTTCTGAAAAGTGGTGCTGCTTTGAATAGAATTCGCGTTTTAATAGTAAAAGTCTCAGGTAAATAGGCTAATGTCGAATTATGTTTGACTTTTACCAAATATTATGTGTACTTATAAAATCACGCCCTCGATTTAAGGAAAGCAGCAGTATTTTTCAGGTTAAGAAAAATATCCTTTATCTATATTCTAAAAATGGTTAAGATCTATTAAGTGTATGCGCTTGCGAAAGTATGATTTTATGAAGCATCTCATTGTCAGATATTTCTGCATATCCCAGTGCTGTCTACCGGATATGCGACGTTATCGCAGACGCAGTTATTAGTTAATCTTTTATTGCGAAATGGCAAGTCTAAGTGTTTTCGAGGAGTTATCGGCCTTTTCCATCATCATCAAGCGAGGCTGAGACGTTGCAAAACAACAAGAAACAGAAAATCGATTTTCTAGCCATAAGTAGGCGGTATCGTTCTAAATTTTTATTTGTGGATAACGGTAAGGTGTTACTTTCTTGGGATTTGCGATGATTCTTAGTGGATGACTGAAAATTTAATGCTGAAGTTCAATAATTTCCATTCACAAAGCCCGAGGAAAGTAGCACATGTTGAATAGCATTTGTTCATATTTTAGTTTAGAACTGGAAAATATATACGAAATAATCTGAAATTGAGGAAAATATTGCTAAATCGATAACGTTAATTTAATAGTAAATAAATAAATAAAAAAATAAATAAAAATAAAATAAATAAATAAAAACTTTCAAATGTAGAGATTATTGTAGACCATAAATATACCACCACGGAAATATCGAAAGCCAAATAGTCCTTATGCCAGGCCAGCCACAGCCACATCATCGGCACCGGCCCAATCCACTGTCACAGTCGCCACACGCAGCCATATATGCTCCTATAGATGTAGTGACGTCATCACCAGCATTGGTGCCCCCAACGGAAGCAAACAGGATAACAGAGCAGCCCAATCAAGATACGGCAGGTACAAGTACTTGTGTGGGATTTGAAACTAATAGCAACAAGCATTCTGAGAGTATTGCATAAGCAATACATGTCCCCTACCGGGTTCCCCTTTTTCTTCAGGATGCCATTTTTTAATGTGCAAAAGTCATGTCCAAGGTTAAACTGAAAGATTTTCAAGTTGTAAATGCCTTAAATCTAATAAAATAATAAACATTAAGACGACAATTCAACTCATTTATCCATCGTCTTTTCCTCGCTTCATATTTTTGTCGACAATCGGAAGTTAGCGCAGTTCGAACCCGATCTTAATTAAGCGATTATGAAAAATATTCAAAATGCCATAATTCTGTCAGAAATCAATGAAGCGAAACGAAATTCAAACTTGATCTGTAACTCATTAAGATACACTCACCTACCAAAATTCAGCTTAATATCTGCAAGCGTTTAGAAAAAAAGTGCGGAAAACCAAGTGAGAATGAAAAATTATCAAAATGCCACAATTCTGTCAAAAATTAATGAAGCAAAACGAAATTCAAACTTGATCTGTAACTCATTAAGATACACTTACGTACCAAAATTCAGCTCAATATCTGCAAGCGTTTAGAAAAAAAGTGCGGAAAACCAAGTGGGACAGACTGACGGGGACAGACAGACAGACGGACAGACAGACAGACAGACGGACGGACGGACGGACGGACGCAGAGGAAACCTATA